AGTGGCAGTAGTAGTCGTAGTGGTAGTGGTAGTGGTAGTGGTAGGGGTAGTAGTAGTGGTAGCAGTGGTAGTGGTGGTAGTATAATTACGATTAACATTAGTAGTAGCAGTAGCAGTAGTAGCAGTAGTAGTGGCATTCGTAGTAGTAGAAGCAGTAGTAGCAGTAGTAGTAGCAGTAGTAGTAGTAGTAGTAGTAGTAGTAGTAGTAGTAGTTGTAGTAGTAGTAGTAGTAGTAGCAGCAGCAGCAGCAGCAGTAGTAGTAGGAGTAGTAGTGGTAATAGTGGTGGTGGTGGCGGTGGTGGTGGTGCTAGTAGTGGTACTGGTTGTGGTGGTTGTGGTGGTAGTAGTATTATTTTTTTGCCGGGAATCCAGCACCGGTAGTTGTCTTTGTCATCTTGGTAATCTTGATCATCTGGATCAGGCGACTAATTTCGGGGCCAGACGATGCGTCAACTAGGTCATCTTGCTCGGGGAGTAAACGCTAATAAGGGGGGCAAGTTGACGCGTCTTCTTGGTTGACTTGGTCATCTTGCTCGGGGAGAGATCAGTGGGGATAAGATGACGTGTCAAGTGGTAATCTGCGTCATCTTGGTTATTTTGACCACTTGCACCCCTTGCATCACTCGTACCAATTGTAGCAATGTTGGTGGTCCTTGCGGCGGCCCACTATGGTCCAAAATCACAAAAATGGAGGTGGCCGAGTAAGGTTTGGGGTTCAAGGGGTTTTGAGGTTCAAGGCTTAGGGTTAAGGGTTTTAGGGTTTGCCGTGGAGCTTTTCCTTCTTTCTCTCCCCACGCCGTAGAGGGTTCAGGGTTGCGCGCGCCCGGCGCGTGCATCGGTTTGGGGTTTAAGGTTTAGGGCCCGGCACCTGCATCGGTTTAGGGGTTGGGATTTAGAGTTTTGGGGTTTTAGTGTTGAAGGGTGTAGGGTTTTTAGGGTTTAGGGTATGAAGCGCGGCACACGATCGGTTTAGGGTGTAGGCCTGTCCTTGGGGGATACAGCATTTTGGCAGCGTCCTGGTGCTTTCCTGCTGGTCCCCCTGCTGCTGGTGTGGTCTCATATTGGGCGTGCCGGGCGTGCGCGACTATCCCTGCACGCAATCCGCAAAATAGGCTAACATACCCCTTACTTTGCAGATTTTTGGGTGCTCGGGGAGGCACGAGTGGTTCGACTGGTGCATAGTGGTCAAGACGACCAAGATGACCCCTAAGAAAGCCAAAACATCTTCCGACCAACATAAACAAGATGACGCATCCCCTCATTTAGCGTCTACTGTCCTGGCAACATGACCAAGATGACGCGTCATCTGGTCCCCCCAAACTAGTCCCCTGACCAAGATTACCAAGATGACAAAGACAATTGCCAGCTCTCGATTCCCGGCACACAGTATGGCTGTAACATCTTGAGTAGCCTGTCGTTAAGAGCTCACTGCTTGCATCAGCAAGCTTCGTGACGGCTCTGTTTCGTCACGTCAGATCACTCATGGGAACAAGGAGGTTTACCGTTTACAACATCGATCGCATTCGGCACAACTGTGGTAGCAATATGGAGCAGGAGGGTATGGGCAGTAGTGGCAACATTATAGCATTGCGACTAATAGATTCGTGTGGTAGATCACATCAAGCAAGCCAGCTTGGTAGAATCAAAATCCAAGAGGCTTTATCGTCCTTGCTCCTGTCAAGTGAGGCCAGATCCAATCCAAATTGAAGGCAGGTCTCCTACGAAGTCAACGCAACAAATTTTGTACTGTGGCATAGGGCACGCAGGGTCTACGATGTCGCAGGTCGCTCGGTTCTGGGACTCCGAGATCCAGAAAGAAGGCAGGTAACCTTTTAAGTGCGTATGGGTTTGTTGGTTAGGGTTTAGGGTTTAGGGTTTAGGGTTTCGGGTTTAATGCTCACCTTGCAGGTCTTGTGTGGACAAGGCTCTGGCAGCCGCCCTACAAGGCTTTCCGGCTTCCTTTGGGGGGTTCAGGGGTGCAGCGTCCCGAAGTGTTCAGGGGTCTAATGGTTACAATAACTGGATTGTCGTGTCATTATACGGTCCTACTTAGTGCAGTATTGTGCCATAGTCATATTCTACGCGCACACCAATACAGAAGTCGCTCGTCTGTTGCGAGACTCCTTGTCCAGCTACTCCTGCAGATGATGTCTTGCAGCAGGGAGAGGCTGGCATCCTTCATGCATGGAGGCTTCACATGCTGACAATCCCGAAGACTTTAGACAGAACAAAGCACATCCGGAGAATCCGCTTCCCTCAACCCTGAAAGTGTGTCCAAAACAGTCCCAACCGTCGAAGCCCTGAGGCAGACTCAGTGCCAGCGTTGCTGGACTACTTCGATGAGGCACTCCTTTCAAGGAGACGTCGTCGTGAAAGCATATAATGATTGCCATGATCTCGTGCACGATGACTTCAATAAAAATAGAGCAAGCAGAACACAACCACACCCACCCACCCACACACACACACACACGCACACACACGCATGCACGCAAGCAATAGTTCAAGCAGATCGCAGTCGACGCAAGAAACGAAGCACACATCAAGGCATTGAGCATCATCGACAATGACCGTCAGGCACAACAGACCTGATTGCCATGGTGATGATGATGGTGATGATGATGATGATGATGACGATGATGGTGACGGCAGTGGCCAAAATAGATGACAGTTGTTGCAGACGAATAAAATGCCAATGGGCAGAGGATGGCAGAGGAATAACTTGTGGTGTTCAGGCTTCTCCAAAGAGCATGAAAATCAGGTGCGACGTTCCACAAGTTGCGCCTATCAATACTGTTAATGATAATCATAGTAGCAGCGCGGTTGAAAGTACTGTCACAGCGACAGGGAAGTTCCCTATGAACTCGTACACGGCTCAAACAGGTAAAGACTGACAGGTCATGATATCAGTGCTGACTGTTCGTGCTGGTCATGCCGTTGGCATTATCAATATTGTTACGCAAGCGATGGCATGGGTCAGCATAGTGGAGAAGTGTGTCAGCAGTGACATCAATAATGATTTGTTGTAGTCATGGGTAAAGATATTGGCGCGAACTTGGAAACATGTGGAGCGGTAGGAGCG